CCTGCTCCCCTCCCCGCATCATAACAATAAAATTACTCCCCCCACAAAATTTCAACATGCCCTGGGGGGTCGCACTGCCCTCATTGAGATGCACTGATTGAGAGGAAGAGGGATGCTCCAGCCAAGCCCTTGATGGAAACAAAAAGGGAATCCAGTGTGGCTGGAGAGTCCTGGGGAGGAAGAGAAGAAAAGGGGAGAGAGAGGTTCAGGCAGAGACTTCAGCCAAGGTGAGACACAGGTATCCCCTGCTTTTCAAAAGTTCGCGCTCCTTGGCTTGGCTTTTACTAGTACAAAAGACCTACACCGGTACCTGTTTTCCTTAACCAAAAGAAATCCGTAAAGCAAAAGGGAGCCATTATAGAGGCAGTGCACACCCTGAGCAGTGAAAGTGACACCACCAAGCTCCTCCGGGATCCACATGCAGCGAGCAGCTCCACATCGAGCCCCAGGGCTTTGAGCTGTGACTGTGAGCATCTGTGTCTCACCCTCATTTATGTCGTGCATCCATCACCAAGATGTATCCTAAGGTATCAGAAAAGCCTCAGAGAGCGCTAAGGGGGTTCTGCTTAGAGTAAAACTGGACACACTTAAGTGTTTTGATTGTGGTGAATGAAATAAAGGTATTGAACTTTTGAACACTTATTGAGTGTTCACCAATCAAACCACTTACACACAGAGAGAGAATCTTGAAAGCTGCCGAAGTTACTACTGGTTCTGCTGGTAGCAAAGTGGTTTCCATTAGCCAGCATCCAGTAACAGATAAAATGGCGAGTCTATAGCTTGAGCGGATTGACGGGTGCACATGTGGTGTTCTGCTACGTTATCTGGGAACACTCAAAAAATTTCCCATATACATTAATGGTAATTGCTTCTTCGCCTTGTGCCATTTCAGCTTACGTAAGGTTTCATAGGAACGTTCTAATTCCAGCTAGCAGGAGAAACTTTCCCTTGGATTCAATTCCAAGGGCACTGGGGAGTCCTGCAGGGTTTTCAGCAGGGAGTGACATAGCCTGACCTTGTTGTGGGGGGTGGCTCAAAACTTCTGTTAGTCAGGGGATTGCACTGCACTTCCCAGAGAATGTCACACATTCAAGCACTCATTCATTCAACACGTAAGGATTAAGGGGTGTCTCATGCTGTGTAACAAACTACTCCAAAATGGAGTGGCTTAAAAGAACAATCATTTGTTGTTTTCTGCTACTCGGTGGGTTGGCTGGGCAGTTCTGCTGGTTTCACCAGGCTTACTGAACCTGCTTTATTCCGCGGGTGGGTCAGCTGGAATGGCTGGGCCTCTCTTCCAGAAGCTTTCTGGGCATCCAAGACTTCTTGATGCACAGGCTCTGGACCACACACAGCCTCACGTCTATCACAACTATTGGTCAAGGCAAGTCACAAGGCCACCCCAAAGAAACAGACTCCGCTTTTTAACAGGAAGAGCTATAAAGCCACATTTACAGCAATGGAATTCATGGCCATGAAACATTCGACCTGGCTCTGGACCAGGCCCTGGGGATACAGTCTGCCCTTCTGTGGCCTATACCTGGCAGATCACAAACAAGTCAACAAGTTAAAAAGGTCAGAAAATGCAATGAAAAAAGAAAAAAAAAAAAGAAAATGCAATGAA